TATGCCACCAAAATTAAGAAGACAACAAAGCATTTTATTGTAGGATCATCTAAAAGTAGGGAATGAACTGAAGTTTGATTTTCAAGTCTTGTTTAGAATGGGTAGTAGTACTGGCATTCTAAATGGTGGGCACATTTTGAGACAAGTAAAGCAAGAACAGTTCTACTTCTAACTTAAAATAGAATAACAGATAACTAGGGCTAAGATCCACCTTGCTTACTAAAAGTGAGGATGGCTTGAGGCACTTGTTGCAGAAGATCCAGGAATGCAGCGTTCGGTATGGATTGTATCTCAATGCCAAGAAAACAATAATTCTGACCACTGGACTGATAGTCAACATCATGATGCGTGGAGAGGAGATTGAAACTGCCAACAACTTCATCTTACTTGGATCCACAATTAACACTCTTGGAACCAGCAGTAAGGAGTCCCATTGCACTAGGAAAGTCTGCAGTTGGGGTTCTCTCCAAATTATTGAGGATTAATGATGTCAGTTTGAGAACTAAGGTGTGCCTGATTCAGGCTATGGTCTTTCCAGTCACTTTCTATGCAGCTGAGAGCTGAACAATTGATTTGGATGACAGAAGATTTCATGGTTTTAAGCTGTGGTTTTGGAGAAGAGCACTGAACATCCCATGGATGGCCAAAAAGAACAAACAAATATGTCTTATAAAGGATGCACTTGGAGTGCTCTTTGGAGACAAGTATGATGCAAAGCTTTGCCTCACATACTTCGGGCATGTTGCTAGGAAGGCCTATTCTTTGGAGATGGACATGATGATTGGAAAGGTGGAGGGGCTATGAAGGAGCAAAAGACCCTCGACCAGATCGACAGACACAGTGACTGCCACAATGGGCTTTAGTGTGTGAGGAAGTATGAAAATTGTACAGGACAGGGCTCAGATCTGTTGTTCACAGGGTCACAATGAGTCATACTCAACCTGATGGCACCTAACAACGACAAGGACCAGGATTTGGTCCCATTAGACAAAAGCTGCTTGTGACATGCAAACTAGTGAGAACTGTAGTTGTTTGGTATTCAGGACCCTAAAACCACATGATGTTGCTGGTATTGCATGCCATCGGGTCAGCACCAGTCCATAGCTGACCCACCAGTGCAGTTTTAGAAGCAATAAATCACACTGGAATAGATTGCTCATATTTCTCCCTTGGAGCAGCTGGTGGAATGAACCACACACTTTTGCACTGGCAGCTCCATTCCTTATTAGAAAGCCATTAGAGCTCCCTGCAAAACCTTTTACATAAGCCTAATTAGAAAAATTAGAAAAAGGTTGCGAGGTTAGAGAAAGGTCTTGTTTGTGTGAGCCTTAACTAGCTGATAGAAGATAGCACAAATCGAATTCTAACCCCTTCAGTTGGTAGGTGCCAGATATTGATATTCTGCAAGACTTGATTAAGGTAGGTTTGGGAATTAAATTGGCTTTAAACATGACACACTTAAAGTTAGAAAACTTTCTCATAGGGAAAGAAATTGTTAAAAACAAATGACACGGGGTAATTCTGTTTATTTTGTTTTAACTTTTTATTTTTATTTGGGTGAAATTTCATAGTCATATTGGATTTTTCATTCAACAATTCACATACATTTTGTTTTAAGAGTTGATGGAAGTCCCTACAGTGAGAAAGCATTCTTTCCATTTTCCCCTGGATATATCATTTCCATCTGTCCTTTTCCATATTTCCCTTCTGCCCTGAGAATTATCCCTCAATAAGTCTTGCCCTTTTGATATGGTACAGTTGATTTTACTAAGAAATACAAACCTTTCCGGTGTTATTATTCATCTTCAGGCCTATTTGGCTGAAAATGGAGCTGTAGGAATTAAATCCATCCTAGAAGGGCCATAGTGTTACATCAGTCTCTATAAAATGAGTAATCTTGGTTCTTCTTTATCATGTTGAGAGTTTTTACTACAATTTTCTCCTATTCTATTCAGAAGCTCCTGACTTTCAAAGTGATTATTTACTTAAAATCATCTTTAGATGGATTAAGGAGCATAATGCATAGTGAACCATTAACCTAAAAGTTGGAGATTCAAATCCACTTGCTAGTCTTTGGGCGAAAAGTAGACAGTGTCCTCCCATTAATACTACAGCCTCAGAGACCCAATGGAAATTTGCCATAAATCATAATCAACTCAACAGAAGGGGATTCTGGGTTTTATATTATATATCCTAATTTAGCACAAGTGCCAAGATAATACTTTCAGTATAAGGTAAAAAGAATTCTTGAAACCTCAGCTATTGTAACAGCCATTCATCATCCTTTTCAGTCAGTAGAACTATTAAAAATTCCACAGAACAAACTGAGACATCGTTAGATGTTAAATTATTGGAAAAATAAGTATCACATTTTCATTAATCAAGGAGATATCAGTGTTACCATATATTTCATGTAAACATCTCACACATCTGCAAATGAGAAAATTTCTAAAATTTATACCTACTACAATTTTTTTAATGTAGGCCAAATAAAACTAAAGGCATCTGGCCTATTTTTAAATAATCATTATTTATTCAGTAGAAAACTGTAAGACTGTATAGTTATTCAAGACAAATATCATCTTGGAAAGTATGCATACTTTCAGGTTTATTCCAAACTCACCAGTTAATATGAATAATCAAGGTAACTTTCTTCTTTTCTTCCAATTCAGTGCTGAGTACAAGAGAAGGACTAAATACGTTCAGAAAAGTCTTAATCCTGAGTGGAATCAAACAGTAATTTATAAAAGTATTTCTATGGAACAGGTATGTAATAATTACTTTCCATATGATAGATTTAAGCTAGTATAAAGCAGTGATGGCAAATTTATGATGTGATTAGAATACATATATGTTAACAAAATAGTTTGCAAAAATATATGTGGGAAATGAAAGGAAATGGGTAAATTTGAAAGATTAATTATTAAAATAAGAAGACTAGAGGAAACTTTTCCATTGATAATTTTAAACTTTCAAAACACTGGACTGTGTATATTTTAACCTTGGGAAATATGCCTTTCATTTGGTTATATTTTGGCTTTCTAATGATTTCAAAGAAAAAATATTTAATGCATAGAAATAAATAATATAAAAAACCTACCAAGTCTTAGGAGTTTAGGGAGCTCTGGTTGTTAAGGTATAAGGAGTTGCACAGCCAACCCCAAGACACACAGTTCAAATCCACCAACTGTTCTATGTGAGAAAGACAGGTAATTTCCACCTGTTCAGTTTACACCTTCTGGTGGCCTAGTGGCAAGAAGCTGTGCTGCAGCATGTGGTTCAAGGCCACCAGCTGCTGTGCAGAAGAAGGATGTGCAATCACCTGCCATGTAATTAACCACCTCTAAAAACCCACCAGAGGGTCAGCTATGGGTTGGTTCTGACTCTACAGGACTCAACACAACACAACACTATATAATAACCCACTAGAGAGTCAGCTATGATTT